CAAATGAAGATTCATTTTATAAATTGCTGTTAACTTTTAGTTTGACTTATTCTTTTAGATAGCTGTATCATTATCTATCAACTAAAGCATCATAGTAAGTAATGACCACTTTTATATCTTTTGCTTCTAGGTAATAAAATATACTGAGGCTTGAAGTGTTCCCTGTTCTCAAATTTAAGTACATAATGTGAGAATTATTCATCTGTGCATGGTATATACTCTTGTGCCTTCAAATTTTATTTTAATAATTTATGCTAATTGACATTATTGATTTAAATATTCCTTAAAATCTAGTAATAAATAATTATATGTAAGTGTGGATATTTGCATTTCCAAGCCTTTAACTTCATTAGATATTTAGTATGTGTGTTGCTATTTTAAAGTAAATGCAATTTCACTGCTGTTATAATGTTTATGACATTTTTTACCTCAAAAGAAAATGCATCTTTATTACTAAAAAAGAGATAACAGAATCATTTAAATAACATCACAATACCAAAATAAATAGTGATAGATAACCCAACTTCTGCTCTTGGATCTTGCAAAAAATTATTTGTGAGTTGTTGAACAAGTCAGTTAATCTCTCTGAGGTTCAACTTTCTAGCTTAAAGAAAGTAAAATAGAGATGCAAAAATCTGGCTAGTGAGAAGGATCTGTGAACATTTGAAGCACCAACAATATCAAAGCAATAAAATTTGTTCTACTCGAGTCAGACTGAAGTTCTACTTCAAATATCAGTGATGGAATCTCTGGCATTCTCATCATTTTCATCAGCTATTCCTGTGATAAGCACAGTAAGCACTGAAATTTACTTATTGCACAAAGCAGGTAAATTTACACTATATTAAAGAACAACAAACTGTTTAGCTTAAAATAATAGGAAAGAGGGGACGGGAGCAATAATACAGCGGGTAGGGGGTTTGCCTTGTATGCAGCCAACCTGGCTCAATCTCCGGCATCCCATATGGTCCTCCAAGCACTGCCAGGAGTGATTCCTGAGTGCAGAGCCAGGAGTAACCTGTGTGTATCACCGGGTATGACCCCCCACAAAAAAAGCCAAAACAAAATAAAGGAATATTTTCTCTTAGAGTCCTATAGGAAAAAAATCTAGATGATTTTATAATGTCATGAATTTATCCTGATGGCTAAACAAGAAATGAGAGTAGGAGAGCAGTATATACTCTCACACTCATTCTAATTTAGAAATAAAGGAAGATCTCTTAACTTGCTTAATAAAGTCAAAATAAATGTAAATAACAACATACAAGAAAGTAACAAAACAAAACAATCTGTGTGTTACCAAAGACACACACACACACACACACACACACACACACACCATCCTAGTTAGACTCAATTGACTTCACTTGTCCATGTGAGATGTCTAACACCACAACAGATGCGTGAAATCAAAGATAGTCTTCCAGACACTCAATGGCAGATTTGCAGTCGGAATCTGCCTAATTCAAAATTCAATGTTATTTCTATTAAAAAAAATCTAAGAATTTCCAGTCAACAGTTCTCAGGAAACTATGACTACAAGGCAATATAAATCTGGTGATATAGCTCAAGAGGTAGAACAAATACTTTGCATATGGGAAGCCCTAGGACTAACCTCATGTCTCTGGAGCACCATTGGAAATGACCCACAGCTCTTGAGCACTGCCAGGAATGTCCCCAACCAGTATGTTTAAAAATATACATGTAAAACCTTGAAAAAGTAAAAATCTTAACATTTATGCTGATTTAATTGGTAAATTTGAACAGTTAAGAACTATTTGGCTGACTTTCATTGACAATCTAATATACTAATTATACTTATCTGCCAAATGAAATTAAACTAAGGTTATATAAAAACGTTAAGTCTTTAAATTTTCATAAAATTGACATTGTACTTAAGTGCAATTAGCAACAAAACTACTGCATGACAAAAGGTGATTAAAGGAACTAATTCAATATTTTAATATTTTTAATGCTAAATTGTCACTGTCACTGTCACTGTCCTCCCATTGTTCATCGATTTGCTCGAGCGGTCCCAGTAACTTTGTGAGACTTGTTACTATGTTTGGCATATCAAATATGTCACAAGTAGCAGGTTTTGCCCTGCGGGCGAGATACTCCCAGTAGCTTGCCGGGCTCTCCGAGAGGGACGGAGGAATCGAACTCGGGTCAGCAATGTTGGCTGCATGCAAGGAAAACACCCTATCATCTAATGCCAAATTGTAAGCATCTAAATTGGTAATCCTAAAATTGTCAGCATCTTAATATATACATTTTTAAAACTAAAACACATACTAACACAACATGAAGACATGAAGAATGAATTCAGACTCTCAACATCAATGAAATAGAATTGAAAATCCAGACACACCTTCACAACACTTAATCTTTGATAAAGGAGCAAACATTATGAAGCAGAACAATGAAAACCTCTGGAATTTTGGGTAATTGGCTAACCACATGCCAAAAATAATGAGCTCATATAGTGATGTATTGGATGTAGCACCTTCTTTCCACCATCGTTCAAAGCATGTATTTTGAAAGATGATTTCTTTCTACTCATTGATACTCACCCATCTGTCTTCAGAAAATGAGTGAAATGAGTAGGTAAAGGGCACCAATAAGATACTACCAGGAATATTTCCATAACAGAATATGGCTCCTTTCCTTGTTGGCAAGGTGATATTGAATGTCACTTAGTTTCTCTAGCCTTAACTTTTTCATATAAAATAAGATGTTAATTATGGTATCTGAATACAAAGATATCAAAGGTGATTAAAGGAGATAATAGATGGAAAAATGCCTAATGCCAATTTAGGTACATAAAATGTTACGTGTACTACAACTGAGAGATTTTCCTGAAGCTGGATATGCTGTGTGAATTTGTTCATTAATGGTTACCAATTCATGCCACTTAAAGTTATTGTTGTTACTTATTATGTATGTGTGTGGTACATAATATTACAATATACTGATTAGAGAGAAGATAAGCTGACTTTTGGGGTGGGTGACAGAGTCCATATAAATTTCCTGTGAAATCCCAAATAATGAAGGGAACTCTTATTTTCAAAGAATTAACTTGATAAGAGTACAGAGGAGACAATCAGAGAAAGGCAAGTGGTAAGAGCAATTAATTTCAAAGCAAGTAGTGGAAATTAATTTACTAAAATTCCAGCTAGTGGAAGTGCTTTGACAGCACAATATTCTAAAAAAGATTAAGTATCAGTAATAATTTTCCTCACTGAAATCATCTCTTTCTGACCTAGGTGCTTAGATTAATTTCCTTGTCTGGAATGCTTCTTCATCCTATATCTGCCTTGATTTTATAAATGATTTAATTTTATTTTATTACACACCTGGCAGTTCTCATGACTTGCTCATCTCATGTCTTTCTGCTCAGGGACCATTCTGATCATTCTTGGTGGTACTCAGGGGACTATCACTGTCACTGTCTTCCCGTTGTTCATCGATTTGCTCTAGCGAGAGCAGTAACATTGTGAGACTTGTTACTGTGTTTGGCATATTGAATACATCATGGGTAGCTTGCGAGGCTTTGCCATGCGGGCGAGATACTCTTGACACCTTGCTGGGTTCTCTGAGAGGGGTGAAGGAATCAAACTTGGGTAGGCAGCGTTGGCCACATGCAAGGCAAACGCCCTACCCGCTGTGGTATTGTTTCAGCCTCAGGGGACTATATGTGATGTTAAAGAGCAAAATTCAGATTGGCTGCATAGAGACAAGTGCCGTACTATCTCTCTGGTCCCTGTCTGAATGTCTTAAAACTCATCTTTTATAGCACATATTCGCTCAATGGAAACTGTTTATGAAGTACTTATTATGTATTAAGTATTTATTGTATTAAGCATTGGGGCTATGACAGTGAGCAAAGTCAAGGCTGGGTCTCATCTGTACACACTTGAGCTCTTTATACCGTCTCTAAGCTTATACTGGTATCCAGCTCGCTGCTAACTACAGCTCAGGATGTACTCATTGCAGTGCTGCATTTAAGAACAGTATCTGAGGTTTCAGATCTATTTCTCTAGTGTGGGGCGGCAAGTACAAAAAGAAGAAGGTCTTGGGGGCATGAGAGAGAGTGCAGCAGATAGGGGTCTTCCCTTGGACACAGTCAATAAGTTCAATGCCTAACATGGTATGTGGAGTGATTCCTGAGCACAAAGCAAGAAGTAAGCCAGAAGGACAGCCTGCAGTGACCCCAAAAGAGGAAGGCCTGGGTCATTTTCTCCTTCTTCCCTGCTCACACTACTTTTAGAGTCCGACACACAGGAGGTAGGCGATATATGTCTGCTGCATAAATTGTTTGTTATTCATGAAACCTTTCTGAAGTCAAATATAAAAATATTCTTCTAATAAATATGAGAGAAAAGGAATTATGCTCAGAAAAATTGCATAATTTTGAATACACTATTTCTGTTTTATTAGAATTTTATAAACAACCTTATTTTAAAATACCTACAATTAGCTGCATATTAGCAATATTGGCAAATCTATACTCGCAGAGGTCATTAATTACAAAAGAAATATGCAATTTCTTGGTGAAATTATGCCTTATTAGTTTTTATGGTTTAAAATAAGGATGACTTGTTCTGTTTTTAAAAATAAAATAAGACTTAGTTTTGTCAGAGTAGAATATATATATGTGAATAATTTAATAAGCCAAACTTGCTATATTTTATAAGAATCAACAATATTTTCCAGTAAGTAAAATTTTACATACATATTGTGTTCGAACTGCATAAGAAAGAGATGGAAAAATATAACAAAAACACTGTCACAGTGCAAAGAGAGACAATATACATCATTCTTCAGCATTGTGGAACAGACTCTGGATACTTTAACAGCATAAATATCAGAGAATTTTAGAAATAAAGAAATGCAGTTTCCATCTATTTTTGTTGGAATAAAGGAAATGTTTAGTTTTTATTCAGAATGGTAAGCATTGTATACAAACAAAGAGAAAAGTACAAGCATAAAGCACCTACTTGGCCTGGTGCTTGGACCCTTTCAGGTGGGCATGGTACTGCTCTATGGAGTTCAGAGAGACACTGCAGATAGCACATCTGTAATTGCGTCTCAGACCTGTGGACAACAGAAGACCTGGTTAGCTGCGTCTTTGTTATTAACCACCTGAATAAGTCCTAGAGTCCCAAAAGTTTCAGAGAAAAACGGGTCTGAGAAATAACTCAAGAAGTAGAATCCATGTTCAAGGTCCAGGTTCTTAGCAGCAACTGATATCCAGAGTACTATCAGGTAAAGTACATATAAGTAAAAAAGGATTATATATCATATTTTGGAGATTATCTGATACAAGCCATTAACATTTTTCTCTGTTCTTCTAGAGATCAATCTATAGGTACTTTAGAAGAAGCATAACTATGAAAATGCTAGAAGTCGTCAACTCCATTTCTAGATGATGGAAATTATTTTGGTATATTTTATTTTTGTGGTAAAATACTTCTGGATATTTTAAAACAAAAAATAATTGTATCTAAAACATTAATTTGTACATTAATTTTTAAAATATTAAGGCATTGTGATTTATGTAATTATTTTTATTTGAGTTTTAGTCATAACATGTTCTAATGCCAATATCACCACCATTGTTGGCTTCCCTCCACCAATGTCCCCAGATTCTTCCCACTCCCCAGCCTGCCTCTTTGTCAGGCAGGTTTTTGTTTAGCTTTTGTAGTTTGTATCTCAAACTTACAATTTTGATGTCTCATTAGTTTATGCGTATATGCATATCATACCACATACAGTATACATATACCACACATAGACACATATGTATATGTAAATATACATATACCCTTTGGCCTGAGTACACTGATCTCTATCTCTGTATCTCATCATCCATCTCTTCTTACTCTACTATTTGTTTTTTTCCCTCCCTATTCTTCTTATTTATGTGATGGAGGGTCAAGTGAAATTTGCGTATCGTCTCTTTGATGTACTTCATTTAACATGATATCCTCCAGTTCCATCCGATGGAACTGGAAGAAGTAGCCACCTTTTTCCTCTTCTCTCCTATGGCATGTAGAAATTATAAGCTTTCATCTTTGCTGTAAAACTTGAAATTCCATTTAAAAAGTCCTGTATAATTCCTTTCCAATCTCTATCAAATAGTATATTCTTAAATTCAACTTTAGATATCATCCATTTACATTATTCCAGCATCATACTACAAAATGAAAATAACAGAGGAAAAACAGCACATTAATCCAAATTATGCAAAAGTTTGCTTTCCACAAGAATTTAAAAGAAATTAATGCATTCTTTTTATTCATATAATGTATTCATTAGTAGGGTATCAGCTTTGGAGCAATAACAAGCAATTCCATGATAAATAATTTGTTCTTTGCTTGGAAAGAATTCAGCAAAATCCTTGACATTTTTGTAATATTGACTCATGTAGCAAGAAATGTGTTAGAAATAAGTCTTACTCAAATGAGTTTAAATATTTGCAACAGCTCAGAGAAGCACTATGGAAAATATTCTATCCTAAGAAAAGTAGCAATCTCAAAAAATGTCCTATTAGAGTAAAAATAAAAGATTTTCATGAGCTGAAAATTTGAATTTATATCTTGATTATTACATGATCTAGGGAAAATCACATAAAGTCTTCCTGGCCTCAATTTCCTTATCTTCAAGAAATAGACATGGTAATCTATGTCACAGGTTGCTGTCATAATTAAGCAAAGATAAATTAAAATTCCTTATCGGTTGCCAGAGATATTACGGGTACTTTCCTTGTATGCAGAAAATCCAGATTTGACCCTAGCTCTGCATACAAATCCCTGATTTCTGGTAAAAGTTATCCTTAAGTACAGAGTGTGTAATCACTGAGCACTGCTGAAAGGGATACCCAAGTCAAAAAAACTATATTAAAATTGTTATTGTTATTTCTGCCAGTTTAGTTTATGCTTTACCAGTGTACAAGACAAGGTATTAAACCTTCAGTTTTATTCTTAGGAAAAACACATAAAAAATATGTGGGTGGGTCAGAGATGTTTGGGAACATACCCAGATGTACTCAGAGCTTACTCCTGGCTCTGTGTTTAGGGATCATTCTCGACAGTGCTTGACAGCCACATGTGAAAATGGGATCTAACCAAAGTTGCTCATGTTCAAGGCAAGGCCTCTTTACTATCTTTCATAACCCAGAACTGGTTTTAATCCTAAACTTACCACTCACAATTGATCAGTTGATCTCTTTATTTTCCGTTAATCGTCGATTTGCTCAAGTGGGAGACAATAACGTCTCCATTTGTCCCTGTTGCATGCTAGTGTAACCCAATGGTGTCTGTTCGTTCTAGGAACACGAAGAGCCTCAAACCGATCATTCATGATCTTGATGAAGAAGTCTGACCATCTGGTAGGTGGGTGGCCACGCGGTCTTTTGACATCCCGTGTAATCCAGTTGTTAACAGCTCTAGTCCAGTGGTCATCTCTAAATCTCATTATGTGACCAGCCCATCTGATTCTTGACGCCTTGGCAAACGAGACAGTGTACCTGATTCTTGATCATTGACGGAGGTCAGAACACCGGATTCTTTCTCTCATTTGAGTGAAACGTGATATTCGTGATATTCCAAGCATAGCTTTTTCAATTCCTCTTTGGGAGATCCGAATAGCGTTCTCATCCTGTTTGCGTAGGGCCCAGGTCTCTGAGGCATATGTTAATGCAGGAAGAACAGTGGAATCAAAGAGATGTGCCCGGAGCCGGAGGTTCTTCGTCCTCTTAGCTATTTCTTCGAAGTTCTTGAAGGCGTTCCAAGCCGCTCTCTTCCTCCTGCGCAGCTCGGGTGCCAGGTCATTTGTCATGTTGACTTCTCGACCTAGATAAACATCACTGTTGCATTCAGAGATGGTCGTTCCAGTTAGAGCGAACGGGGCATCAGGAATGAGACTGTTTCTCATAAACATTGTCTTCGTAAGATTCAGCAGTAGTCCAGCCTTTCCACACACACGGTCGAAGTCGGCCAGCATTTGTGCTGCTTGGCTAATGTTTGGTGTCATTAAACCAATGTCATCAGCAAAGTGGAGGTGGTGTAGTTGCTGACCATCTATCTTCACTCTCATTCCTTCCCATTCCAGTCATTGCATGATGTTTTCTCGAGGGTGGCACTGAAGAGTTTTGGTGAAATGGTATCACCCTGCTGAACCCTTCTCTTGACATCAATGATTACTTCTTTGTAGAATGGTGAGATCCTGGTAGTGAATCTGTAATACAGCTCACGGAGGATCCTGATGTATTGAGTTTGAATGCCTTGATTGGCTAGGGCTTCAATGACTGCTTCTGTTTCAACAGAATCAAAGGCCTTCTTTAAATCAATGAATGTTAGACAAAGCGGCATCTTGAACTCCCGAGAAACCTCAATGAGCTTGGTTATGGTGTGGATAGTGTTGATGGTGCTGAATCCTTTGAGGAACCTGGCTTGCTCGCATGGTTGTCCTTAATCTATTGTTCTGCCAATCCAATTCAGGATGACTCAAGTGAACAACTTGTAGATGACAGACAATAGGCAAAAACACCTATCTTCAAAAACTCTTGAGCTTATTCGCCAACGTGGCTTGGTGCATACCTCAGGCAACCGTAAGTGAATGTCCGAGCTTGCAAAGCAGTGCAGAGATGCAATCAAAGAAGACCTCAAAGAGAGAAGAGCAGAAGTGCTGGTAGATGCAGCAGAAGCTGGGAAAAGTATTTGTAACACCCGCCTGTCCTTCGCCAACTACAAGACCAAAATGACTGCCCTCTGACATCCTGATGGATCTATCACATCTTCCAGAAGGGCAATGGAGAAGATTATCCATGACTTCTACTCAAATCTCTTCGATAGCCATGTCCACCTGCCGACATACCAAATTCCACAGGATGGATATGTCATTCCCAATGTTCTCCCTTCCGAAATCCAACATGCCATTTCATCAGTAAAGAAACGAACAGCACCCGGCCCAGACAAGGTCAGACCTGAACACCTGAAGAACCTGCCGTCAGTACTCATCAATATGCTGGCTCGGCTCTTCACACGCTACCTGTATGAATGCAAGATTCCGTCCCAATGGAAAACCAGCAGGACTGTACTACTGTATAAGAAGGGAGACATTCATGACATTGGCAACTATCGCCTGATCTGCCTATTGTCTGTCTTCTACCACTCATAATAAACCTATAAAAAAATTCCGGAGAAGAAATTAGAGAATTTCTTAAAGTAATATTGTCTATTATACTTCCCCTACTTTCTGTGGGGGGTCGTGGGAACTTTAGTGGTGATGGTGATGAATTATAATTTTAAAATTGTACATTAATCCCATGTACTTACCACAGGGGCTGGAGCAATAGCACAGTGGGTAGGGCGTTTGCCTTGCACACGACCAACCCAGGTTCCATTCCTCTGTCCCTCTCAGAGAGCCCGGTAAGCTATGGAGAGTATCCTGCCCGCAAGGCAGAGACTGGCAAGCTCCCTGTGGTGTAAGCAATATGCCGAAAACAGTAACAATAAGTCTCACAGTGGAGACGTTACTGGTGCCTGCTCGAGCAAATCAATGATCAACAGGATGACAGCGCTACAGTGCTACTATTAAAAACAGTGTACATATAATCACGGTCCTCCCGTTGTTCATTGATTTACTTGAGCAGGCCCAGTAACGTCTCCATTGGAGACTTTGTTGTTACTGTGTTTGGCATATCGAATACGTCACGGGTAGCTTGCCAGGCTCTGCCGTGCAGGTGAGATACTCTTGATAGCTTGTCGGGCTCTCTGAGAGGGGTGGAGGAATCGAACTCAGGTCGACCATGTTGGCTGCGTGCAAGGCAAACGCCCTTCTGCTGTGCTATCGTTCCAGTTCGTTCATATAAACTATAATAAAAATCAATTCATTCATTAATTAAAATAACAAAGTATTGCCCCAGACCACTCTCCGCACACATGAAGGTACTGGCAGAGGAACAAAGTCACGCAGGTTCTGGGGCCGAGATCTCTAAGCCTACTCGGATTGGGGCCGAACATCCTCCACCCAGATCTCCAAATTCCAGTAGGTGGGGGTCACACCCACCAACTGGCACCCTGGCGCCGTGT